CAAAGGAGCCCTGGTAATAAAGTTAAGCAAGTGCTGAACTGTTAACCTCAGGTCAGCAAGTTGTATTAATTTATTTTTGTTTTTTTGCACTTTCTTTTTTTTAAAGATCATTTTATTGGGGCCTCTTACAGTTCTTATAACATTCCATACATCAATTGTATCAAGCATATTTGTACATGTGTTGCCCCCATTATTTTCTAAACATTTACTTTCTATTTGAGCCCTTGGTATCAGCTCTTTTCACCTGCCCTACCCCCACCCACCCCACCCCACCCCACCCATGCTTTGTGACCCCTTGATAAATTATTACTTTCAGATCTTACAGTGATTGCTGTCTCCCTTCCCCTGCGGTTTCTTGCCCCTACCTTCCCCCACCCTCCTGGTATAGCTAGGTGAGCAGTTTTAAAACCCACTAGGTACTCTCTGGGCGAAAGATGAGGCTGTCTGCTATCATAAAGGTTTACAGCCTTGGAAACTACATATAAAGTCACCGAGTCAGAAATACCTTGATGGCATTGGGCTTGTTTTTGTGGGTTTTTACTTGTAAATTCTTTAAAATTATCAGAATGTACTTGAACAAGCAGAACTATTGTTATTTAAGTTTATCAGTTTCTAGATAAAACGTATTTTCCAGAGACACTACCTGAATTTCTTATTAAAAAATTCAAATTGGAATTTTATTAAACTCTATTTCTAATTCTACCTTAACAGTTTTTCTTTTCAATGTCTTAGACAACATTTTAATCTTTTTTCCTTATCTGACTTGAGTTTAGATTTGAAAACTAGTATGAATGTAGTATTAGGTCTTGTCCTAAATCTGATGATTTCTACTGAGAATACCAAACTTCGAAAATCTCTTGATTTCTTGTTCACATCTGCACTATACAAAGGGGGAAAGGTCAATTCCAGACTCCTTTTCTCGTGTATGTGTGGTGTCCAGATGTTTGACTATCTTTGCTGCAGTTGCTGTATTTGATCCTCAGATTTTTCTATTCTGTTTTTGACTGCCTATTTTTAGGACATCAGTTGGGAAAAATTACTGAAACTTCACTTTCTATTTATTGCCTCTGCTTTACTCAGATCCCTAAATGCATATTTTAGATTTTGGCAAAGCATAGTGGAAGATACAATAGCTTTATAGTCAGACCTGGATTAGACAATTGGTTCCATCAGCAGTTGAATGATCTCAAGCGAGACACTTAATCTCTATCTGTGCTTCAGCTGCCTCAGCTGTCAAGTGTAGCTAATGATATCCACTACAAAGGTATGAGTACTCAATTAGAAAATGCACATAGAGTATCTATCACAACAGCTGGCACACTGCAAGTCTTCAGAATATGACAGTTACTATTGTCCCATGACTATTATTGCTCATGCTGCCTTAATCCAGTTTGGAAGTGGTGTTCTTAATTCTTGACTGTACTCCAAAATTACCAGAGTCTCAGAAGAGCAAAGTTATTGATGAATTTGAGAATTCCCAGCTGAAGAAGGAAGACAGTAGTCACAAAGGTTAAAAAAGAAAGCACAACCAGAATCCACGGGTGTTTGGGATAGGGATGCGCAATTCAAAAGAAAACAAGGAAGTCTCAGAAATGTTCCGGTTTAAGGTAAATATACAAATACCATAATACCATACATGCTCGAGTATAAGCCGACCCGAATATTCAGCCCATGCACCTAATTTTACCACAAAACTGCATTAAAAATGTGCTGGAAAACTCAGCTTATACACGAGTACATATGGTACATAAAATCAAAATCACTTGTCATCAAGTCAAACATGGTAACTCCAGTAAAACCGTGATTCCCTTTTAGAAATATATAATCTTGTTGAGAATATTCACAGCAGAACATGCAGCAATTCAACAATTTCTACACATACAATTCAGCGACACTGACTTCATTCTTCAAGTTTTGCAACCATTTCCACCTTCTTGTTGAGCGGCTCCTCTGCTATTAACACAATCTCACTATCTCTTGAATTTCCTATCTTAATCTTTCTAGTTGCTGTTGTTAATTTGAGCCCATAAAGAGAGATATCTTAAGAGTACTCTGTCCAATATAGACATCTTTTACTAGTTAAGCTAAACTACATTTTGGCTTCAAGAAGACGTCAGGTCACGCGTTTAGTTTAAATTTTAAAGATAAAGATTATCTCAGGATATTAGTTTCAGGGGTTTATCCAACCTGCATGGCTCCCAAATGTCTGAAATTCATGCCAACTTGAAATAGTGTTTTGCCATTTCCTCACTTCTGATCAGGATTCTTCTATAGAATCTTTGATCAGAATAAATAGTAACGGTAGTTATCAGACATCATCTGGTTCTTTTGGCCTCATGGCAAAGGGAACAGTTGTTCATGGAAACAATTAGCCACACATGCCATTTCCTCATCCTATTTCTGACACCCCAGGAGCACACATGCCAACTGCTGTGACTTGGATGGCTGCCTGCAAGCACATAGGGCCTGAGGCACAATGCCACAAAGTAGGAGATACAACCAAAGCCCTAAACACTGTTATCGGGCTACTTCCTTTGGATGTTCCACAAATGCTGGCACCAACCCTCCCAACCATGGGTCCAATCCCACAAGGTGGTTGGTTGTGCAGAAGGAGCCCCAGCAGCTCATCTTTTTGGTTGTTATTGTTACATGCATTAAAGAACTTTTGCCATTCAATTTTTTACAGGGATATAACTTATTGACAGCAATTACATTTACCAGCTATGCAACCCCAATGCTATTTTTCCATCATTACAAACTGAAATTTAGTGTTCTGTATGAAATAAATGCCCATTTCCGCCACCTCTCTTGCCTGTGGTAACCACTAATAAACTTTGGTCTGAATACATTTGCCTTTCCTAGTCTTTTTATATAAATGAGGTTCTACAATGTTGGTTTTTGTCAGTAAAATGCCTTCAAGCTCCAATACTGTGCATGAACCAAACCTACACTTTTATTTTTATGGGGTCCCATTTGTTTTGTTCTTGGCTATTTGTGTTTTCATTATTATGTTAGATAATCCACATGAAAACCGTCTTGTCCTTGAATTTCTTCTCAGAAATGCACAGGTCCCGTTCCACAGCATTTTCAGTGGCTACATTGCTGGAAGTAGCTTAGAGATATTTCTCTCAAGATGCTTCTGGGGGACTCATCCCACCAACCTTCCCGTTAGCAGCAAGCATGCTAACTGCATCACAGAAATCTCGTAGTGGAATTTTAAAAAGTGAAATAAAATATAAAACTTTTCAGTGGCAGTCTACTTTCCATAGGGTGCTATTTTTTCCACATAGCATGAAATTAATTTCCTATCTTAAGCTGCACCTGCTAGATTACTAATGTTTGTATTATTAAGTCTCTGGACTTAAAATGCTTTTTGTGTGAATTTCCCTCCTACTATGCCCATCTGTTTTTTCCTTGCGGGCCCAAAGGAAACCAATATTTAATAAATAGTTAGAGCTCATACTGCTTTATGGTATAAGCATCTATATCCACTGGGGAAAATTACATAACAGTGTGCAGACATGTAAGCTTGCACTTGATTTCTTTTTCACACTGTCCATGTGATTCTCATTTTTATAAAAGACCAAAATTTCAGCAAGTATAAAAGAAATAAAGCCAGAGGATACAAATGATTATAACTGAGTGATCTTTGGTATCAGATAATTACATAAGACTAGGTAAATAATTTAAAGGAGCCTTGGTAGCTCAGGAGTTAAGTGGTCAGCTGCAAGCAAAAGGCCAGTGGTTCAAACCCACCAGCTGCTCTGCAGGAGCAAGATGTGGAAGTTTGCATTCGTAATGAGCACATCTTTGAAACCCAATGGGGCAGTTTAATCTGTCTTACCGGCTGACTATGAGTTGGAATCAACTTCACGACAATGGACTTGGTTTTGATTTGTAAGTACATAATATATGAGTGAACCAATAGTAATGTGTGATGCCAACTTGAGTGAGGGGAGGCCTCAAGACCACTGCCCCTAATCAACGTCAGAGTGAGCTCCTTCACAGGATATACTTCACTCAATGAGGCTGCTCCTCCACCTAACTAATCAAGGGTATGATGATCTTGTTTCCATGATTACTTTCCTGCCACGACGTCACTATTACTGGCTTCTACTGATCCATAAACGAAAATTTATCCACGTTGTCTTTTTGTTTTAATTCATGTAGTCTTGATAATAGACTGATCAATGGCTTTACTTAAAAAAACCTAACTGATAGGAGTCTAACTCGGACGAGAGGAAGTAGCCTGGTGGAGAAGCTGAGCAGAGGTGGAGGGCTCCGAGGGAGTGCCGGGGCCCAGGACAGCTTCCGGGGCCCAGAAGTGGAAGGTCTAGGTGCCCGTGGGTTTTCTCAAGGACACTTCAACCCAGCCTGGTCCCGCTACTATAGCTCCTGCAAAGAAGGGTGGTGAAGAGAACAAGGACCGTTGGCTATCAAGGAGCTCCTGACCAGAGAGTACACCAACATTCTCAAGCACCTCCATGGCGTGGGCTTCAAGAAGCATGCCCCTGGAGTGCTCAAGGAGATTCGGAAGTTGGCCATGAAGGAGATGGGAACACCAGATGTACGACACCAGGCTCAACAAAGTTGTGTCTTGGCCAAAGGAATCAGGAACATCTCATACAGTATCCATGTGCGGTTGTCTAGGTACAGTAATGAGCATGAAGATTTCCCCAAACAAGCTCTGTACATTGGTTACCTATGTACCTGTCATCACTTTCAAAAACCTAGCCAATGTGCATGAAAACTAGTGGCTGATGACCTAATAAAGGTTCTAAAACTACCACACACAAAAACCTAACTAAAAAAAAAATTAATACAAGCAAAGAAATGGATGGTTGTCATATCAAAACACCATAGTCGACATATATTCTAGATATATACAAATATTCTTGGACACAACATGGGTAAGAAAATTCTTGGCAGACCGAGTCCTGGAGGAAGGTGTTACTTATTGGCAGGCTTATAACACACACAAAAAGAAAGAAAAAAACTACCTTAGCAGCTGCAGGGTCGACGCATACTCCTCTGAGTCCCATATGTCCTTTTCTAAACACGTGCAGTACAGCTCTCTGATCTATAAATGAACAGTGCATTCGTGAAGAACTAAAGAAATGTACCAGGTTTATTATACACTATTAGCTTGACAAAATCACATTTAAGCAAGAAAGAAAAACTAATGTTATTAAAAAGAATCTTTTTCTCTAGACTTGGCATATATCGCATGGGCCAAGCTTCATAGTCTTATTACATAATGCTATAAATACTGGCTGATCTCATTGGCCACTTTGTAGTAAGGAAATGTTGACTTAAAAGTGCTAGTATAATTATAAAAATAAAGATTTAATAGCAGAAATCATCTCAAAAACATGCTTATATTTGTTCTTTAACATTTTGATTAAGGATACAAAGATGAAGGACAATGAAACTTCCTAACAGCTACACTACAGATGGCTCACACGGTTTCAGCTAGGAGACAAAGGACAGCTGAGCAGACTGGCAGGGAGCAGACATACTGCTTCTCTTTTGGTTCTTGATACAATGTAAGAATATGAAACATCCTATGAGAACTGTGCTTTTTCCAGTGCACGAGAAAGCCAGCTCTTTCGGCACAGGTGACAAAGAAGTGTTACAGAAGGAAAGCTAAATGCCTTCCACAAATATATCACAGGGGACTCAACATCGCTGGGATGCATGCGGCTGTCTCTAGCTGTGGCATTCAGAACAAAAACACTGCTTCGATTTCCAGACAAGGGTACAGCTGGAATGGATTTAGATTAGGCTCTCACTGCAAGATCTGGACCCCTTTCAAATGTAATGCTTGCAGTGCCTCAGAAATCAAAGCGAGAAACTACTTATGTTCCTGCGTCTTAGGTTCCAAATAAGGGGGCTTTGGTTACCTGCCGGCCCAAGGGGTACTTGGGAAGGGAACACGTGAACTTATGAAGACATCTCAAAACCAGGAAGTAATTTGTGTGGTAAACATGCAGGTTTTCTAACAATGACTGTGCCTCCTCCTAAAAATCACAGAAGATATTATTAATATAATGTTAGTAATTAAATAACTATCACCATAAAATGGAATCCATATTTCTGTACAGCTGCTGGGAAATTGACAAAAGAACATTCAGAATTAAAAATTAGCCTGTTTAATTCATGAGAATTTATAATACACACAGGATTCTGGATAAACTCTTAAATCTGGTCTGAATTAATACTGCACCTTAACCTCTTCACACCTCCAGTACTTGCCACAATAGCCGTTCCCTGTCTAGTACAGGACTGCAAAGGCCCTTACTGGATGTCCACTCTGCATGCCCCAACAAGGGCAGGCCCATTCGCCTCTCCCTGTCATCGTCAGACGGGTGTAGAGGGCACCAGGAAGCTCCGGACCACGGGAGTTAGCAGTTGCTGAGGTTCTGCTGCTGAGGGACCCTTTCCCTAAAGCACTGCTAGAATTGTTTCCTTGAAGGGCAAGAAAGGAGGGCTGTGGAAGAAACACCACTGTTGATTCTGAAAGATCTCTGCCTCTTGCTAGAAATCCTCTTTACTGGTTTTATGCATTTTATCAATTAAGAGGGGAGGGGGGAAACAGAAGAATGTGAAAGAAATCTAAAGCTAAAAAACTTTATAATTTAGAATCCAGCAGGAATGAGATAGAGGATATCTTTAAAAGCCTACAGGATTACTAATCTGACATAAGTTTTTTCAAAAGCTTTCTGGAGCTTTCTCAAATAATGTTAGACCGTATCAATTTCCAGGCGTCAGCTGCTGACTTCGGTAACATTTTATTAAGAGGATTATAATTTGTGACATGGTTTTCATTTTTTCTCCTCCTTAGAAGTCAGATAAAGGACTTTCAACTACAGGGCTATGTCTTTTCCTTCTTTCTTTTTTTCTGGCGTATCTTTCAGACACCTATTACTTTCAGCACTTAATCGTGCACAAAATACCTCAGATATCAATGAAGTCAAGCAAATCAAACTCATACAAAAGAACAAATTCAATGTATTTCTCTAAACTCTAACTCGCTTAGGAATCAATTCCTTGCTCAGCAATCATTACAATGCATACTACAAATAAAAGCTTTAGTACCAAAACTTTAAAATCAAACTGAAATCTGTAAAATATTTTGATGTATAAACATTTTTTCAAACTTAAAAACCAGCATCACTTCTACTATGTAAATGCTCAAGTCTGTTGACACAGTACTCCTTTTCCCCAGTCTTTAAATGTCCTTCTGGCATCTTTTCTATAAAGTTCATAGCTTCCATTATGTCTGATCTCATAATCATATTTAGAATGATTCTTTTCCTTTTAAAAAAATCATTTTATTGGGGGCTCGTACAACTCATCCATCTATTGTGTGAAGCACATTTGTACATTTGTTGCCATCATCATTCTCAAAACATTTTTTCTATGTGAGCCCTTGGTATCAGCTCATTTTTCCCCTCCCTCCCTCATGAACCCTTGATAATTTATAAATTATTATTTTTTCATGTCTTACACTGGCTGATGTCTCCCTTCACCCACTTTTCTGGGTGATCCCCAGGGAGGGGATTATATGTAGATCATTGACTGGTTCCCCCTTTCTACCCTACCTTCCCCTTACCCTCTTGGTATCAGTAGTCTCATTATTGGTCCAGACGGGTTAATCTGTTCTGGAATTTCTGTGTTTCCAGCTCTTATCTGTACCAGTGGACATACTCTGGTCTAGCTGGATTAGTAAGGTAGAATTGGGATCATCATTGTGGGGGTAGGGGGTGGGTAGGAGGAAGCATTAAAGAACTACAGGAACGTTGTGTTTCATCAGTGCTACACTGCACCCTGACTGGCTCGTCTGTTCCCCACAACCCTTCTTTAAGGGGATGTCCAATTGCCTACAGATGGGCTTTGGGTTTCCACACTGCACTCCCCCTCATTCACAATGATAAGATTTTTTGTTCTTGGATGCCTGATCCTAATGACACCTTGTGAACATACAGGCTGTTGTGCTTCTTCCATGTGGGCTTTGCTGCTTCTCAGCTAGATAGCTGCTTGTTTATCTTCAAGCCTTTAAGACCCCAGACACTGTATCTTTTCAGGGGTAGGCACCATCAGCTTTCTTCACCACATTTGCTTATGCCCCAGCTTTGTCTTCATTCAGCGATTGTGCCAGGAAGGTGAGCATCGTGGAATGCCAGTTTAACAGAACAAAGTATTCTTGCATTGAGTACTTGAGTAGCGACCCAATGTCCACCCGATACTTTAAACCTATAAATATATGCACATAGATCTATTTCCCCATTCATATATAAATATATTTACATATGTACATGCCTGTATTGAGACCTCTGTAAATGCCCTTTGTCTCCTAGGTCTTTTCTCTATGTCATTTTACTTTCCTCTTGTCCCACTATCATGTTCAGACTTCATTTGGGTTTCAGTAATTCCTCTCAGTTACATTGCCCTTGATCAAGCCCTACCAAGCCTCTTACACCCTCCTCATCATCAATTTTATATCACTTAGTGTT